GGAACTCCGCCATTGCGAAAGTTTCAGAATTTCATAAACTTATGAATTATGAAGGCTTACGAAGCAGTTTGTACCATCTCGCAATTGTTCAGCCATATGTCTCTATCCTCAAGTCACAAATCTCACTCACAAAGGCTTTCATGAAGTTTTTGAATCAGGGGGTTCGGGCGTCGGGCGTCAGAGGAGAGCCGAGCCGAAGCAGCGAAGCAGCAGCGAAGCAGCTTCGGGGACGCTCAGTTGAGCCAGAAGTCAGAATTCTGGAAGGGCGTTCTACGCTAGGACAGCAAGGCTGAATCTAGTTGGTAACTGCTTAACTGCTCAGAAAGTCCCCAATCGCTAAGGGAACCTTTTGCAGAGCTTCAGCTGATTAAGCCCCTTAGCTGGAAGAGAGGAGGAGGAGAGAAGAGTTTGAAGGCTGAGCTCGGGCTTTTTGAGCTCAGCTCAGAGATGCTCCGCGTCGCAGCCGTCGCAGGCGCCATGGACTGGAAGAGTTAGGATTTTAAGGGAGTTTCTGCTTCGGTGGGAGCTTAGCCTTTGCTTCGAAGATGCTTTTGGCTTTCCTGTGACCACCTCGCACTCAAAGTCATCTGCCCTCACAAGAAGGAGAGTGACTTATGAGAACTCTTGGATGCACTGCACACACTGCACGCTTTCTACCCTGCTTTTTGCCAGCAAAGTCATTGGATTATCAAAGCTGCAGAAAGGGCCAGAGGCCGCAATGGTAATGGTCTTGACGTCCCACATCTTAAAGTCTTAAAACACTTCATGACTTGAACCAAACTGGCTGCCTGCAGAGAAGTCGTGACAACAGGAGAGAGAGCAGCATGTCAGTGCACATAGTGCACATAGTGCACATAGTGCACAATGCGTTCAAGCCGCCTTTGCCGTCGGGATACGTAAAGCCCACCATGACTCTTCCTGGGTCCTAGTAGATTCTAGGTTCCCTTGACATGATGCTTCCACTTACAAAAAAAACTTTTTGCAGGTTGAGTGGCTGCGCGGGACACCCGGTGGCTGCGGCATGACAGGAAACGTGAGGCCGGTTGGATGCAGAATGCTGGAATGCTGCAGCAAGGCTCATAAAGTTTGGTTCTGAGAAAGCCTGGAACGCAGGAACGGTGCTAGAGTTGATGATCGAGGGACTAGAAAGTGGACTCCTCAGCAGGGCAATTGCTTAAGCCGAGGCAGCCGAAGGCAGCCGAAAGTGCTCAAGGCGCTTTTGCAAAATGCTTCCAGCAGAACACTGCCTCAGGCTACAGCTGAAAACAGCTGCAGTAAATTTGCAGCCCGAAGAGGCCCCGCCTAAGCAGCTGTGAGCGCGTTGCATGCTTCAAGCAAAGCTGAAGCGCAGTCGAGAGACTTTGCGGAGGGGAAACAAAAAAGTTTGAGTTTGAGTGATTTCTGTGGTCCTCAAAGATGAGTTCCTTTGTTGCTTTCCTTTCAAATCAGCGTGCACTTGGGCGGAAGCGTGTTCGCTCTTTGGGCAAAGAGTGGCTCTAAGAGATGTTAAAATGGCAAAGAGGGCAGACGCCGGCAGGCATCCAAGAGCTCAAAAACCGTTGATGAAGGACCTCATGACGAAAAGGATGAATCGCTCTCAAGGCAATTGCTACGCAACGTTCTGTAGAACTGTAAGCTGCAACATGCTGCAACTCTGCCACTGTGGCTCCGAGAAGCTTCAAGCTGCGTTCAATTCAAGCTGCTCAAGAACCGGAATTCGCCTTCGCCAACCGATCTCGACCGATCTCCAATTGTGTTCGCCTTCGGTCGGCTGCTTGGGGGGTATTGCTGTGGAAAGAAGGAAATCAATGGAGCTTTTCATTTTGCTAGGCCAGGCTCCCTTACCTGAGAGCCCTTTCTCTGAGTATGAGGGGCTTTGTACAAGAGTTGATGACGTTTTCCTTTTGAAGAATATAGGGAGTGGTAAACTCGTCAAAGGGGAAGGTGCAGGGCATGAAGCAAATTTGCCGGGATTGGTCTCTCACTTGACGTCCGCGTCCACCTCATGCTCCCCTGTGATGCCCTGGGATGGATTAATGTCGAAATGGAAGGCGGGTGAAGGTCACTGGGGAGGTCACTGACGGCTGCATGGTCCTTACGTGGGAGCCTGCAAATGGAGCCAACAAGCGGGCAATCCTAACTTAAAGGAATGGACCCAGATCCGCCCATGCTGCCGTGCCCTGCAGCGAGGCTGTCGGAGGCGGCCGGAGGCTGGTGGCTCGGGTGGCTGCAGGAGTTGGAGCTCCGTAAGCAGACAGCTCATCCTCATCCCACTGTGGGGCAGAACTCTCAATCTCTCAATCTGTTCCGGACGGGCGCTGCACTCCAGGGATGCGCTCAAAGCTCAAGGCTCGGAGAAATGAGAAGGTAGTCTGCATTCTTTGATTCAGTGAAGGTGCTGCAGGTCAGACGGTCAGGACTGTCGCACGCAGCACATGCAGGGTGTGCGTTGCACGCAATTGCGTTCCTGGAAGCTGATGAACTGCCTGCTCTGCCAGGAGCTCTGCCGGGAGCTCTTCAAGGCCAAGGCTAGGTAAGGCCGGGTGAGGCCTACTGGAAAGCCCGCTGAAAGCCCGCTCTGCCAGACGAATTGCAACTGCTCCCGCCTTGAGGCCACTATGAAGCAAACGTGCCAACCGTGTTGAGGCCTGGGGCAGAAACTTCGTGGCTCATCGCAAGCCGCACCTGCAGGATAAATGCCTTCAACCTTCGCCTCCTTTGCCTAACAACTTGACTCCGAAACTGCCGACACTCAAAGAATCGCGATGAAAGCACGCCCTAGTCCAGGCCTCCTTGCCAGGATGCATGCCGCCAAGGAACGCAGCATCTGATGCTTATGAATAGGGAATCAACCTCAAAGGTCGTAGTTGATGGCTCTCGCCTAAAGCTTGTTCAAAAATTCTCAGTTCATCCTACAGGCGAGAGGGCCAGTTCACCTAGACCTAGCCTGCCTTGAGCCATAATGCCTCGGGAAGGGGGCATTCAGATGAAGGACAGCTCTGGCTGCTGACCTGATCATCCTTTCTCACCATTTCTTGCGTACCTCTTTTCTACCCTTGCTCTCTACAAACAGAAAGCTTCTTCTGTGCACCAGAGAGAGAGAGAGAGAGATAGAGAGTTCACGGTTGAAGAGCTTCCATGCCGACGCGCTGAATCCTTGCTGTGACATGATTTCTGGTTTCTGAGGTTCCTTTGTGCTCTGCATGTTGCATTGTCGATTGCGTTAACCCACCCTCTTTCGAGAAGTGTATTTTGCCCGCAGCACCTCCATGTACAGGCAGTGCCTTGTTTCACGTCAGAAACTGCAAGACCAGCTTGATGCTGCAGTGAGATCAGCTGTGTGAGGATTCACCTTTTCTCCCGGCTCATTGGATATCTCTCGCGCTGCGCTCGCTTCGCTGCGGTTCTCTGCGCCTCCAACCGCTCAGTAGGGAGCAGGAAGCCGCGGTCGTCCCTGAAGTGAGGAGAAAACAAAAAAACGCTTGAAGCTGGAAAGGCCTCACAAAGCCTCTTCCACTCACTTCTTCCTGACTCCTCTTCCTCTCTCTTTTTTTTGCTCTCAGCTCTGCTCTGAGCTCGTCGCGGCAGGCCGTAGCGGCAGCCTCGGACGAATGCCCATCGCCTTGTCAGCGAAAAAGCTCACTGAGCTCGCAGATGCTTGCAGTCTGTTTTCTCCGTTAGAGAAGATCCAACTTCAGTTATCATCCGGGAGGGAATACTGGCATGACTGCATGACGCTGCTTCTTCATCAAAGATGCAAGACATACATCGTTCACAGCCCCTTGACTCACAAAAAGCCGAGTTTACACGAAGCCTAACAGTCTGTTAGCCTGCTGCATGGGTTTCCCACGCATGTTGTGTCTTGCCGGAAGTTTGGTTGAGCTATAGCTGCATCTCTTGGCCTCCTGCGTCGCAGCAGCTTCATTTCTGAGGCGTGGGCCATGTCCGGTTGGAGCGGTCTAATAACCTCAGTCTCTGTTGAAGATGCGTTCGCCCCCCTCAAAAAAGAATCGAACATGACAGAAACCACCACCCCCCCTCTGAGATTGGCCCGTGCGTGGATTACCTCACAAAGTGTACAGTAAGCAGGCAACCGGGCGTCTCTACCTTTTGCAACTCGCTGTGCGCATTGCTCGAGCATATAGTCCCTAAAACCTTGAGAGCAGTAACAGCAGCGTGATATACAGGCTTGTTACA